TGCTGATGATAAATATGGGCATAAACTCTGAACAGACGCTTTAGAATGGTCTTTGCCACAGACATAAAGTTTCTGGGGAATGGGACACCTGTAATCAAATATACATGAAGTAATATATCAATTAGCCTTTTATCTGACTGAACAGAAGGTTGAGACACAGCGATGAGCAACTGCAACACAAACACACACATTCACAAAGATACACAGGCCTAGTTCTGCGTATTTTTTAAAAGGCAAGGGAGGCTAGACAGGGTGGTTCACGCCTGTAATCCCAGCACTTTGAGAGGCCAAGGCAGGAGGATCACTTGAGGCCAGGAGTTTGAGACCAGCCTGGCCAACACAACAGGACCCTGTGTCTATAAAAAAAAATTGAAAAATTAGCTGTAGCCGGGCACTCCAGCCTGGGCCACAAAGCAAAACCCCATATCTTTAAAAAAAGAAAAAAGGCAAGGGAAAAATCCCCAAACCTAAGTATATCCTCACATACCACACTTTTTCTGATTGCCTTAGAATGGTGGGCAAAGACGTCAAATTATGTAAGATGCTGTTGAATGAATGTTCAAACAGATGTAATTTTAGTTGTTTACTGTTAGAGAGTTTCTTCCTAAAATTAAATGCAGGAGTAAGTATTTTGATTATAACACTCTCTCACTGAGGACTGGATACTTTGCTATGAAAAAGACAGGCATACTTTGAATCATTATAATCTAGCTACACACACAAAAAATGTATTTATTTTATCTTCTAAATATTCTGGAAAGCCAAAATTTCTTTCTCTAACTGGTAGTCCCAACTTTTTATTTTATTAAAGTGCTATTTTCATTTTCTTATAGCCTAAAAAGGGGGTATGCTTCCTAAAGGGAGAAGGGGGGAACCTCCCCATGTTTCAACGAAAAACACCTTTATATAAAAGAACTGGCAGAGGGTTTGGGACCCTCTCCAAGCCGTGGAGATGGGGATGCAACTGGTTACATTCCTGAGAATTTTTGTTGACAACTTCAAAGTCTCTTAAAAAAGAGGGACAGGAGAAAGACAATATAATTGGCATCGACTACAGTAAATACATAAGAAGGCATCTGCCTCCAAAATAACCTAGATTAGTTGGCCTTAAAGGCCTGTTCCACAAGACTACCTTTTATTCCCTTTTTTTAGAGATGGGGTCTCACCCTGTCACCCAGGCTGGAGTGTAGTGGCTATTCACAGGCAAGATCATAGCTCACCATAACCTCAAACTCCTGGGTTCAAGTAATCCTCCTGCCTCACTCTCTTTAGTAGCTAGAATTACAAGCATGAGTTACCACAATACTACTCTTAAAATACATTCGTTTTTCAATCTTTCAGAAAACAAGGGCTTAAAACATTCTTTCCCTGCATCTTTTCCCTTTTTCCCCAGCTAGTCCTTGATAACCTGAAGTTTAGTATATTTTGCTGATTTTTGTGGTTATCCACCCCCACCCATGCCCCCAAGCCTTGGCTAACTTGACTTTTCAAACACTATCCTGGAACTTATGGGCATGTTTTTCTGGGCAGGATCTTGTATCTACCTTCCATTTATAAGGTATCTGCCTTCTTTTGAAAAGGTAGATTTTAAAATCAAACCCCTTTTTTCTCAGAATAAGAAATGGGCATCCTGTTAATAAAAGGAACATTAATAACTTGGATGTATTAGCAAAAACATTAATAATAAACAGTTCTGTCCAATAAGAATAAATAACTGGCAAAAGAAAGATTTAGATAATAGCCTAATGGGGGGGATGGGGAGGATTCCAGAACATCAGAATGAATTATTAAAGAATGGGAAGCTGAGAAAAGAGGATAAGGTCAAAAGAATTCCTTATCTTCCATAAGGCGACTTTAATGAGTAAAGAAATGAGTAATGCATTTTAATCCAAGTACCTTCCAAGCTCAATTAACAGATATATTCAAGCACAGTCAATATACAATAAAGGATCTGTGAGAAAGTACATAAAAGGTTTAATAACAGAATGGAAAAACTGATCAACAGCAAACAGATCAAGTGTAACAACTTGATATAAATTTTTCTCCTGAAAGAGCCTCTAATGGGAGTGCAAGAAGGAATATGTTGTTCATGAGACATCCTTAAACTGAAAATGACCTGGACTGATCTCATCCATGAATACTGATGCCAAACTCATAATCAAAATATTAACAAATAAGAAATACCCTTCCAGCAGGGAATTTTTTAAAAGAAATGAAGAAAGCTTTATGGTCTTCAACAACAGATACTAGAGAAGTATCTGATAAAATTCAACAACCATTCTTGATTTAAAAAAATTTTCTAATAGACATGGATAGCCATTTCATTAATACGATTTTTAAAAATTCCATACACCTCTAACCAAAAGCAAGATTCCTGCTTAATGCAGAAATATTAGAAGTACTTGCATAACAGTAAGGAAGCAAGAAAAGGGTGTCTCCTAATACCACCATTACTCAACACTGCTCCAGAAACACTAATCAGTGCAATTAGATAAGCATAAAACAAAAAGAATACATACCAGAAAGAAAGAGTCAAAATTAATATTATCTTAATAGGATGGGGTTGTACACTTAAAAAACTCAAAGAACCAACCAAAAGCTAATAGAAACAGACTCTGATGGTTAATTATAAAATTTATATGAAAATAGCTTTCCCATATACCAAATAATAACTAGTAGGAAACCAGATTATCCATCAAAAACATAAAATGCCTAGAATAAACTTAAAGGATTAACATAAACCACAAAATTTTACAAGAGGAATAAGACTTAAATAAAAGATACAAATAAATGAACACTATCTCAGCTAGGCACAGTGAGCTCCTGCCTGTAGTCCCAGCTTGGCAGGAGGATAGCTTGGGGCCAAGAGTTTAAGATCAGCCTGGACAACAGAATGAGACCTGTCTTTAAAAAAAAATGAATTAATGAACAACTTGTTCTTAGCTAGGAAGACTCAGTATTGTAAGAAAATAAGAATCCCTATATTAATCTACAAAAATTCAATGAACTCATAACTAAAATCTAAATTATTTTCTTACCTTAACAAAATGATTTTAAGTTATTAGGAAGAAAAAGTATCCCAGAATATCTGTGATTATTCTGAAATAGAAGAGCAAGGAAGGGAGACTAGCCCTACAAGATATTAAAAGATGACCACAGTAACTAAAACAGTATGGAATTTCCATAGGAACATATAAAGAGATTAAAACACCCAAAATATATGGCAATTTGTTGTGCACATAAGATAATCAGGGGAGAAAAGGCAAATGTGTTTAATAGTATTGGGACAAACTGGTAGCATTTGTATTTGGAAAAAAACCTAAAGTAGCATTCAGAAAAAAAAGGCCAGGCGTGGTGTAATCCTAGCACTTTGGGAGGCCGAGGCAGGAGGATCACCTGAGGCTAGGAGTTCAAGACTGGGCAACACAGCGAGACCTGGTCTCTACCAAAATAATTCAAAAAAAACTTAGCCAGGCACAGTGGCGCACACTTGTTGTCCCAGCTACTCAGGAGGCTGAGGTGGGAGGATTGATTTGAGCCTAGGAGTTGGAGGCTGCAGCAAGCTATGATTTCGCCACTGCACTCCAGCCTAGGTGACAGAGCCAGATCCTCTCTCTAAAAAAAGAAAAAAACAACGAAAAACCTACCCAACAGCCAAAGATTTAAATGTAAAAACAAAACTACAAAAGTACTAAATGAAAACATGAATAAATGTTTTTATAACCTCAAAGTAGGGAAAGTCTTTTGAATCATTGCATTAAAACCCAGTCATAAAGGAAATGATTAATAGGACAAAATTTAAGGTTATATACAGCAAAAGTACCCCATGGAACAAAATAAGACAAAAGGCAACCTGGAGAAAAATACATAAATGTATGGCAACTAACATTCTTAACATAGAAATGAAGAACTAACATTCTTAACATAGAAATGAACAAAGGATATAAACAGAAAACATACAGTGATAATCAATAAACCAAAAAATGCTCAATCTCATCAATATTTTTTAAAATGTACGTTAAAACAGAAATTTAGAAAGAAATTAGCCAGGCAACTAAAAAATAGAAAAGAAAAAATTAGACAGGCGTAGTGGCGCATGCCTGTAGTCCCAGCTACTCCTGAGGCTGAGGCACGAGGATCGCTTAAGCCCAGGAGTTTGAGGTTGCTGTGAGCTAGGCTAACGCCATGGCACTCTAGCCAGGGCAAGAGAGTGAGAATTTATCTCAAAAAAAGAAAAAAAAAATACAACAAAAAAACACGGAAATTTTTTTAACCAAATTAGAAAAGATTAAAAAATGAATAACCACTGTTGGTGAAGAAATACAAGCAAACACAAACATGGCTGGAGAGAGTATACACTGGCATAAACTTTCTGGAGGAGAAGCTGGCAGTCTATTACATCTTTTTAAAGTTAACAGCATTAACAACAACATATTTATCATTCAAAATGAAAAATACTTCTACAACATTAACTCACCAATCTTAGAAGGAAAAAGAGTTTCATCATCAAGCTGATCCTGAACCCAAGTCATCAAATAGTCAATGTATTTTGGAGCAGAACATTTGATTGGCTTTTTAATATTAGTACCATCTGCCCAATGATATTCATATCTGGAGAGAAAAATGTATTACTGATAAAGTTTTCAAAAACATTAACAAATGTACAACTTATAATCAAAGCAGGTTCACATTCTGTCAATAGAAGTTATATGTAAACTTTAATAAGTTACCTAAAGTTCTGCTAAAGATTACTGTGAGTTCCCTACAGAATTATTCTGAAATGTGATGGTTATAATTGGAAGAGAAAAGGGAAATAATGTGGCAGCTAGTAGTGCCAGAATAGATGTTTTATAAACAACATAGCCCTGGGAAAGACAAAGGAATTGCATTCCTGTCTGTAAGACAGAAGAATGCTGAGCAGTGGGTAAGGAGCTAATGGATTCACCATATTCGGAGATCCTTGGCCATCAAGTTATTATCATCAGTGGAACCAAGATTATAAAACATGTTTCATGAGCAGGGTGTTAGAGAAATACCCTTAGACATGCATCTCCCCTAACCTTTGCTGAGCTACAAGAATTAACAAGATTTATGTAAAACTTCGCTGTGTAAAGCATTTAAGCCACAGGTAAGTTTAATTTTCCTATTTATTTTAATTTCTTTTAAAGTTTTAGGAATAAAACAGTACAACATAAAATAAAAAAATTCCTCCTAAAATATTATAATAAAAATAGGACTATAAACCCATCAGGGATCTTTTTTCCTCTATATCTGCAGCAAAGTCAGAAAGGACAATCTTTTCTAAGAGGCAAACATCTTCATACCATCTATCATCACATAAAAGACTGGAAGGAAACACACCAAAAATTAATCCTATTATATCTTAACATGAGTGATAGATCCATTTCTTTTTTTGTTTTTTGGGCCTAAATTTTGGAAAGAGTTCCATTTTTTTCAATACTTATTGAAATTTATTACAGCCAAAATATTTTTTTTTTTTGAGACAAGAGTTTCACTCTGTTGCCCAGGCTAGAGTGCCGTGGTGTCAGCCTAGCTCACAGCAACTTCAAACTCCTGGGCTCAAGCAATCCTACTGCCTCAGCCTCCAGAGTAGCTGGAACTACAGGCATGCTCCACCATGCCTGGCTAATTTTTTCTATATATTTTTAGTTGTCCGATTAATTTCTTTCTAATTTTAGTAGAGACGGGGTCTCGCTCTTGCTCAGGCTG